ACTGCTTCGAAATGCTCCTATTGCCAGTCTTAATCCACTGTTGCTTACTGCGTCGATCAGTTTTAGAGTTGCATTGGCTGCGGATCTGTATAGAATTGCGCCATAATTGATTTTGGCTTGGGTGGTTGCATTGAATATTTTCAGGAGCGACTTGGATTCACCGCCCCATGAGGTGTGGGATAAAATTTTAATTATTTTTAATGAGTTGGTTGTTATTTTTTTTAAATATTTTATGAAGGGTGACCAGGTTTGGCGTCTATCGAATATTACTCCTAGCATTTTTGTTGTGTTTTTATTGGTTATTGTGKTGCCATTTAAATTGATTACGATATCTTTTGCTCTTTTTTTTGTAAAAATTGTACATATTGACTTCCCTGGTGAATCGATGATATTATAATAAGTAATAACAGCATTATATTGTTATGGTCTCACCGGATTGACCTAACGGATTGATCCGTTGATACCAGGTATCGTTGAATTCGTCAATTCGGAAGTCTCTCAAAAAGGAAGATGAGATGTGATAATAAGCTAATAGGTTTAATTATATGAGAAAAAATATTTATTGAATACAAAATTTACTACACACTATCTTTAACATCTATCATCACTATCTAGCATCGACTGACTCGCCCGTACGGGACATGCAGTCTTACATTGTATGCACGTCGAATTTTGAGTCAGCGTTTGTTCCCCACATTACAAATAATTGTTCATATAGTAATAATATTATAATGCTAAATTATACAAACTGTGTACTAATAATTAATAATAATAATAATAATAATAATAATAATAATCGGGGTAATATAATATAATATAATTATACTAAATGTATACTAATAATTAATAATAATAATCGGGGTTCATAACAATATTGTAGGATAACGCCGCCGCCGGTGAGATACAAACCATACATTAATATTTCAGTAAACACTAATAATACGATCGATGCGAAGTGATATACAAATTCGACAGAATTGACGAAACGTTATTGGACGCGATTTTCCGATCGATGCGCGCGCGTCGTMTAACCGTCTAACCGCAAACTGCAGAGTCAAATTCTTCAGGAAATAACATTTCTATTAACAACACTATCATATACAAGTCACAGCCGTCCATCAGCACAACAACGACAATAACTGCATTGATGCCGACGATGTTAAGAACAATAATAATATAGTGAGAACATCGGACACGTGCGCGATAAAATTTATTTACGAATTATCCCTCACTCCTATCGTACGTGATGACAAATTACTTTAAAATCTGCTGAAAAACTCCAAAACAAAATAGTTATTTCACCTCAATTATATTATAACACTGCTAATATTATAGCGCTTATCGTCCTGAGATCGACGGTAAGATAATGGAAATAACAACAATATTGTATGATATAGTAATATCGTAATTACAGTTTGAATATAACTTTAGTATGGTTATTTGAACCAAATTCGGTAAAAATTTTTCTATGGTATCACAATTGTGTATGCCATTCTACAACTATAGGGAAATTCGAATGTTCAGCGGTAGGGATTGGACTCGAGTGAGGAATGATCTACTTCAGCTTGTAAAGTATACTGTCAAAAAAAAAAAAAAAAATGTAAGAGAGGTTTTGTTAAAAAAAATATGCGTTTCAGGTATAGATAAAAAATTACTATAGRACAAAACAAAACATGTACATCACCAGTAAAATTTATGTCTGTGAAACAGAATAATATTATAGGTAGATAGGTAACATGATTCAGCACCGTTATCGTCTTATGATGCTCTATGCCTTGTGCGTAAGGATTATATTTATAAAACATTTTCTTATATAATAATATATCATACTTTATACGAAATGTTCGTCGACACAATAGTATGCAATATTTTGTTAGGCATACTATAATAGTATTATGTACAACGCGTCGAACGACTAAGATTAAAACCTTCTAATGAAATAATAATATATTTAGAAAAAAAAAATGCAACAATCTTGTTCAGAAATGCATTATTTTTAAGAGGGTTCATAAATTTCTTTTGTTGGCTCAGAGTAATAAACAAGGGTGATCCGTCTAAAAATATTCCAAAYACCCCACTTCCCTCGCGTACTGTTTGCTTTCTTTTTTTCTTGGATATTGGATTCCTAGGATGTAACAGATCAGCGCGTGCCACCACTTTGACACATTGAAGTAGACTTACCGAAATTGTCAGCCATAGTCAACAACAATAACAGTAATAATATTATTGTTATTGTAAATAGATTAACCAAGTTAGTTTTTGTTTTCAATGGGTAGTGAATATTTTAAGGTTCACATAACAAAATAGGTAACTAGTACTATTATATTATTACTATAATATATGTACATACCTAGTAATGTTGTATTTATATATTCAATTGACAACAAACATATTTCAAATAAAAACAATCCGTTTAAATTAAATTTTATATAATCTTAAAAAATAACATTATTACTTTCAAGTTTACGAATTATTGGAAACCATAACCTTAATCGTTTTTGATAAGAGTTTAAAAATTCAATTATTATTATTATTTTTTTTTAATATTTTATATTTTAACTAGTGTTGGTGTGTTTTCCATAAATACATAAAATATAATATTTGGCATAATCCTAATTCAAGTAGTGTATCAATAGGTACAAGTAGTATATATATAACGGGAGAAAGAACAAATATATAAAACGTTATATTATTTTAATTTACTTTGTTTATTTTTCTCAAGGAATCAAACAGTATAGTAGAAAATATTGTACGTGTGCGTTGAAAATGTTGAAATGATTGTAACTATACGAATAGAATTCTATTTTAAACGGTACACTTTGAACATAATAATAATATAGATTGTTTGTATACGACGGGATCGAAAAGATGGTAGCATTGTCATTGATTTCAACGATAAAAGTATAATAATGATTATTTACCTCTTTGCACTGGAAATGCRCTCTTATATTGTTCACTGACTGTGTCAGAATTTTAAACTAGGTAATTCGATTATTCGGCAAATGGCAGTATTTTAAATGCTAAAAACACAGAACATCCTCACACTATTCCTTAAATTAACAAGTAAAGATTTTGGGAGCATAAATCTACCAACTTTTATAGGTTGGAAGTCTATAAATTGTACATTTATCGAAACTAGATTTATTTACCAAAATTAAAAACCCACAAATAAAAAAATGAATAAAAATAAGTCACGTATTCATTGAAAAACTAACAATTTTAACAACACAGATATTATTTAAGAAAATAAATGTATCATATTTGATTTTTATTAACAATAATTAATTTAAATGTTGACTATTTTCTTTTAAAATGTATTATTAAATTAATTCATTTTTATGTGTAGTAAAATATTTATATAATCGTAATTTGCACTCCAGCAATTACTATGACTGAAACAATTTAAATTTATCATCGTGATAATGCATTTTCTCATTTCATATAAATTACTAAAATTATTACCGTATACAAATTGAATGTCTCTTCTATGAATACCATAGCCAAATATTATTATTAAAATTGAATTCATATATGAAAGCGAAATTTGGTGTTGTTTGAACAATGGGTCGTCGGATTAATCAACTTTTTTGTTAAACTAATGCACTTCATGACTAAAATTTGTGATGAGTTTTCCGAACAATTTTAACAAACTCTGCACGATGTCCCGTAATAAGTTGTCATTTAAATCATGTAAAATCAACGGTTATGAAACTTGTAATCCTATTACATACTCTGTAGGTATATKTTTAATATTTGTAGGTAAAACTATAATATTATATTGCAAGTAATGGCATACTCATATGCGTTAGAGACAACTTAAAAAGTTGTGTACGATAATAATTGATATTTGAGAGAGAAAATATTAATATTGTTTACATTTATTTTTATTCTTCCAYAGTGTGATTGAATACTCATTAATTTTGTATGTGTGCTTTTATATTTTGTTAGATTGTGGCGAACTATATCGGAAAAAATCAATCGTTAGAATACGTGTCGAATATGAACATTCACTGGGCCGGTGGAAGAACGGACCCACCGCTGGATATACCGGAGTGTGGATTTGACAATTCTCTTTGCAAAAGTAATGATTTTCATTCCTAATTTTAGTATTTCTGAGAGATTTATCGCACAAGAGTAGCTAAACGTGTGTATCATTACATTTGAGGAAATCATCTTTTGTTGGAATTGGCATAAATTATAATGAGTTCTACTTTATTTTACTTAAAGTTGTATTATATTTTACTGTTCCAGTTTTACAAAACATTCATGATATTTTTATTTTTTTCACCCTTTTTCTTACTTCAAAACCATTTATAAAGTAATTCACAAAAATAATGTTTCCTTATACCTTTTTCTTTATGTATTTCTATTATTTTTTTTTTATATATTTATTATATTTCTAGATTTACAATATTCCTCTTTTACTAACAAATGTATTCTTTATATTTGTTCTTTTCTATTCTAGTAACTATATTCTGATATTTGATTTTTCTGTCCAAATTTCTATTAATCATACGGTTTCYAATATGATATTTTTTTACAATAATCACTTTAAGATATATTATTCTTTTATTAGTGACTAGAAATATCAGTTGATATATTTTTATCATGAATGATTTCTACAATTTGTTTCATTATTTATTCTATTTTTTTTCTGATTACTTCACTATTGTATAACGCTGCTATAAACTTTTAATTGTAAATAAATTATTAATTTTTAAATTAATTTTTCATTATAAAACCCCATTCCCTCGTAAGTWGTAGTTTAAATAAGCTATTTTTTAAAGATATTTATTATATTAATAAGTTATAATATTATTAAACAAATAATCATAGCATTGTATAATATAAGATTTAGATGTATTATATTTACTTTATGAAACATAATATGCTAGTTAATCACCATCTCGTTTTATCTTCAAAAAGTTTTGAGTTTGCAGTTGTTCAAAATTTAACATATAGAATTTTTGAATATAATACAGTAGAGCCTCGATAGTCAGGACGAATTCAGATCGAGCATCGTCCGGATTATTAATTTTTCCGGATTACCRGAGGTTTTTCAAAATTACCTACTAAAATTACTAAGATTTTATTTTRAATTTCACTACTATTTCACTATTATTACGTACCTACATACAAGTATAAGTCTCTACTAGGAACAGTAGGTAATAGAAATAACGAAATTGTATTTTGAAGATAACAATATTTTATGCATTAATTGGGTTGCGGGAATTCTCGTAAAATTTATATACGAACAAATGGAATGTTGTCGTCCGGATTACCGCGTTCACCGGATTATCGGGGGTCCGGACTATCGAGGCTCTACTGTATGTACTTTAAGACCATATTTTCAAATTATTGAGATTATTTGTATTACTTAATCAGTTAGTGATAGAAACATCTGCTTTTCAAATGGAAACCACCTTTTTTATTGTAAACTATTTATTATTTAGTGGATAATTTTTCAGAAAATGTTAATGTTTCAACTTCATGATTCGAACGAGTTGTTTTTCAATTGTTAAAACGTTTAAATTAAAAATGGTATTACCAAAATATAATRTATTTTTTATAGTGTATATTTTAGTATTTATTATTTCATTAACTTATTTATACTTGGACCAGTTTTACAAATTAGTGATTTTAATAGATTAATATCACCAAATKTTTAAATTAGCATTGCTCACATAWATTATTATGTTAAAAACCCATAATCATTAGCATGGGCCTATTATTTTTAGAACACAAAGATAAAAAAAACTCAAAATKTACTACTTCGAATTTCGATTTTGATATGTCAAAGTTTTCAGAAAAAATACTCGCTAAATAATGCACAATAAAAAAGAGTCTTATTTTTTGAAAAACAGAAGTTTGTATATATCCATATAACACTCTTTTAGTAGTACAAAAAACTCTCAAACAATATTTACTGAAGAAAAAGAGGGATGAGCGTGCATAGTAAATCAGCTTGTGTATACGTATATGTATTTTGAATCAGTGTATAATATTTATAATTACTATTAAGAACAGCAAAGTTTCTTATTAATATTATTATTAATACTTTTTTTTAGCAATGCCTGGTTATGCGATTCTCAGTATAGTCCTCAGTTCAGTTGTAGTAATTCTAGCAATAGCTTCAGCTCTAATTTACAGGTAATTTATGAATCACAAAATAATAATTATAGTTATATAAGAACATAGCCATATAATCAAATCGAAATACAATAGAAATAATACCTCAACATTATGACAATGTGAAATTCATTTTATTTTATTCCATCAAAATATTATCTGCTATTATTTAGGCACCTATAGATGTTTATTTAATATAGTTCAGTTAAATAATTCAAGTTTAATATTATTTTCATCGTAAAAGCACTGTTTAGTTGCCCAAAATGTTTTCATGCTGCGTTTTCCCATCTCGTAAAAAAAAAAAAAATGAAAACACTGAAAATACCGGTTAAACGACCTTTTATATTTTTTCTTATTTCTTGGCACGTATCCGGCTGCATTATTAATGGTCTAATCARATGCCCTTTCGTTGGAATTCGGGTAGGGATTGTATGCGTGCTTTGAATCATCCCGAAGTATGGTTGACTATTATTTTTCATTTTTACTATTTTCCATCAAACATAATACCAGTTACTCGGCAAGGTAAACTTTAATTATGTACCCAGAATAGTTTTGTCGCATACATTTTTCATTTTAGAAAATATGTTCTCGATTTTTTCAAACAGAGATTATATAGTTTTGGTTATCATTCGTTATTTTATTAATAAGTCATTTATTTTTCAAGTATTCAACTTGCTGCATTTTTATTTTTATTGAATGATATTTAATATAAGTTAAATGTAAATTAGGTAGTAATGAAAGTAATATATAATTTATAATATTTTATATAATAATAACATTTTTAGTTTTTAATTTTTTGTATTAAATATCCCTTGTTTTTAATTTGATTTAGCTGGAGTGTTGTCATAATAGTATTAGCTTTGAATTAAAATATTGTGCTACTTTAACTTAACTTAATTTATAATTATAAGAAATAAATATAGGAATAAAACATTTTTTTTTCAGGTTCAGTATAAATTTGCTCATAATATAATATGATATACATAATATACACATATGTGTATTTTCTAACTGAAGATATGTAATAAGACTAGTACTGTTACAAATTCTAAAATTCAACATAGGCTCTACATATATATATAGGTTATTATAAAATATATTCATTAGCTTATAAGGTACTACAAGTATGCTCAGAAAATAATCTTATTTTCCTAACCTACCTAAATTGTGCAAAAATATGTTCAAATAAGTCTCAAAGCTGTAACAAATGAATTGAATGGTATGTTTTGTAACTATTTAGTTAGCTAAATGCAGCTTTAAATTTCAAGCTCGAATGTAAACATGTCTTAAGTTTTATTATCATTTTTATTTTTATAGCTTCCTATGAATATAATAACATAATATGTTTCATAATTAAGTATTTCTACCATGAATTGTATGGTTTAAAGTATCATTTGCATTCTTAGTATACATTTGAAAACTATCAAAAGCTAAAGAAATACTAAAAATAATTATTGTCATGTCCTGACGCATTTTTTTTATCACTGAACTACTATGTAACTACAGAATTGCAAATTATTTATGACTTTGGGAGTGACTAAAAATAAAATAATAGCAGTAATGATTTATTTGATTTTGAGAAATTACTATATTATCCAATATTGTCTTTTTCAGGTTAATAATAAGAACTTAATGTATTTAGGAAATTGTGTAATTTATATTTATGATAAAATTAGATACCTACCTATAGTTTATTAATTCACGCGGTGATAGGTATAAAAATAATAATGACAATATTATAATAATAGGTATATTATTTTCTAAAACAGTTTGTATGAATAATAAATGTAAAAAAAATAAACAAAAATGCATGTACTTACAAATTTTGTAATAAAATAACGTATTGTAATCTTATAGAATAATGTATAATTACTTCGTTATAATTAAAATGTYGAAAATTTCACAAAACTCTAATGAAAGCTTCCTAAATTCGGAAAAAGTTTTGAAGACTTGAATAATTTAACATGGCTGAAGGCCTTTTCAATTTTCTTCGAGTACATTACCCTATGTACTTTYTCCTGATCAAAAAAAAAAAAAAAATTATAGAAAAGAAGTTTATTCGACCGCATGTCAAGTCACGTTCTATATACCAACTTTTCATTACTAAACATTTATTATTTAGGTAAAGTTCTTATATGGGTTATTTATATTTACGATCCAGTGTCGGTGTTTCTTTTTTAGTTTATATCCGATTATTTTTCATTGTACCTACTATTGTTAATGTGTTTTTGTGAATAGTATCATATTCCTTTCAACGATATAAATAATTTAGAGTTATCTTTGAATTATCATAGAAATAAAACAATATTTTTTTTTCAATCTTTAATAATCGAAATTAAACTATTTGGGGTAAATAAAAAATTAAGTTTTTTTATTATAATTTCTAGGTAAACGACTCGTTTAAATTATATTACAAAGTGGATTATTATTAGAAATAATAAATTTATTTACAAGATGTGTTATTATAAATTATAATGGATATAATTATATTCGGATAACAATGAGTTTATTAACCCAATTTCGATATCATATAGTATAAATTGGTTATTTTTAAAACATTCTAAATGTTTTAGTAATTTATCGACTAGTGTCGTAATGTTACTGTATGGTTTGTTATTCAATTTTATGAAATTTTTATACGTATATATATCAAAAGACTTATTGTAATGGTTTATGACAGCGATTCTCAACCTTTTTATGTATGCGTACCACGTATACAGCTTGAAAATGTTCGTGTACTACTTAACAAAATAACATTTTTGTCACTAACCAAAAATGTAAACGTTATTTTTCATGTTTGGAATACTCTAGGAACTACAAAATTATGATTGTTTAATCGTTTAATGCAAAATTAATGGAAACTAGGTATTTACAATTATAATTTATTTCTSAAATAAATCAAGTCTTAATATTTTATACGAATAATGATCAATTCCAGTTTTTTTCACGAAGCGAGATTTTCTTAGCGTACCACACATGAGCTTTCCAGGTTGAGAAACGCTGGGTCATGGTACATTAATGGTTATATAAATGTTCTGGTAGTATCGCTGAAATTTATTCTGGTAGTGTATTAGACCAGCGTGACAGTGTTACAGTGTTGGTCATTTGTGTTTAGATTAACTAAGTTCACACCACATTTTATGTTAAACAATTGAAATTAATGTGTTTTAATGAGTCGTTCAACGAATAAGAACGATTTTCAGACATACTAATGTTTGTATAACGTATAGACCTATATTAACTAAGTTATAAGCTTACTAGCTAATCGATAAATCATTAAAAAAAAATATTTACTAGTTAAGACAAAAAACATTTAAAGTGTTTATTTTAATGAACAGTACAAATTTTACGATTAAAAATAAAATTGTATTAATCATTGTTAGTCTATACTATTAATGATATTTCTTTATTAATATTATTAGTAGRACCCGGATTTAAATGCACTTAAACCATACAAATATGCTCTAAAAAATAGCCAAAAATGTCCTTAAAAATTCCATTTATATTTATTTTTTATACAATTTGTTATTTTAATTTGGAATTTATTATTAAAATATATATATTACTTTATTGAAAAAAAAAATTAGAAAAATTAACTTGATGTTGAAACGCATATATTTTGGGGCAATATTATTCATTTTAAACATAGATAATAAAATATATATATTARTAAATACACTAAATTTGTATAGTATATTGAACGAATATGCATTAAAAACCATAAAAATGAMTCAATAATGCTAAAAATGCTTTTAAAATATAAAACAACGAAATATGAAAAAAAAAAAAAATAAATAAATAAAATAAAATGTTTAGCTTTGAAACACTCGTTACATGAAACGAATTTTATACTTGGAAAGCATTGTCTATGATTAATAAAAAAAAGATGCACTTTGCATTGAAATTCGAGCCCTAATTATTTGGTATCTAAGATTAATTAAATACTAATTAAATAACCAATCGAATTACCTAATGGAATTTGATAGTCTCTTTAATTATAAGATATCATAAAGGACTTACCTTTAATACCATTCAAACCAGTTCTGCATAATTACATGTTTTGTCTACTTTGATCAAATTTGATTTAAAATTTGCTTAAAAATGCTGTAAACATCCTGCAAAACATCGATAACCATTAAACTAGATTTTTCATTTTATATTGTATAAGTTTTATTTCGTGTGATTCTTATTCCTTAGAGATGTATAACAAAAAGAGGCATATGAAAGTAGTTTGGTTCRAAATGTGTTATGCAAAAGTAAAGAAAAGTTGTTATAGGGTAAAAATGTCTTTGACCTTCTATGCTTGGCGTCATATATAAAGTTTTTTTTATGATTATGTATACTTATTTTTTGTAATACTCATCAATATTACTTATTTTTTAAATTATCTATTGTTATTAGTTACTTAATTTACCTTGATTAAAATTGTTTTGAAAAATGTATTCTGTACTTGTGAATTTAAAAATTAAAATATATATTAAGTAAGTATAAAATAATGAATAATTAAAATAAAATTATAATTACAAGAAGCATATAATACATTWTCAAACATAAAAACAATATAATGTACTTACCTTACATTATGAAAAAAAGTTTGTATGTATGTGTAAGCACAGGCAGATGAAGTGAAACTTCTTTCATACCTAGTTTTTAGTGATGTTTAGGCTTTTCTGAAAATGAATAATCTCCCGTAAGGACTTGCACGAACTGATAGGATTTTAGATTCAAGTTAATGACACAAAAAATTATTACTTTTAGATTCTGAGCGGAGCAATGAATGTATTGATTTTATAATGTTGTGTTTCTGTGTACACGATACGTTTTCGAAATAATGCTTTGATKTTCAACGCCAGTAGCTTTTCTGGTTGGAAAGTGAATCATGTTAGTGCATTAAGGATGTCAAATTTTGGATTTCTCAGTAGTTTTCAAAAGTACCGAGAGAAACAGAAAACAATTTTTGAGAAAATCAAATTTCGATATTTGTCTAAAAAAATTACCATAGACACATTAAAATTTCACTTAATGTTTAAACTGGATTTTTTTATATTTGATAAAATTTTCAAAATATTTCAAATCTTTCTGAATTATTTATAGACATCTGAAATTACCTATCTTTTTATTTTTTTTTATTTTTTTTATAAAGGGCTGTTAAATTGTATTCTTTTGATAAAAAAGATACAAAATTTAATACAAGGCTCCTAATTTATTTTTTCAACAACAAATAAAAATATTAAAAATACATGATTACAATTTTTTTTAACAAGTATTTAAAGCCAATACGTAAAAATCACGTTAATTTGCAATTTATTTTTGAATTAGTAATTCATAAAAATTTAGTGATTAAAAATTATTTAGTGTTTAAAAATGTATTATAACACTTTTAATTTTTATAGTTTAGGATTGAAATTTAACACTATATGGTTACACAACTAGTAACCATATTGGTTTAAAAGCCGATTCATAGTTAATTCTTGGTATATACGCGTTTGCAATTATTCGGTAATTACATGATACCAAACAATAAACGACGAAGTTGTGAACACACCACTATGGCACGCAACCATTTAATATTTAAGTTATAGAATCAGCACTTATATATTATAATATATTATAAATATATCTAAATATATATATGCATACGCTATACTCTGTCAGTCTGTCCAGAAAAATAACACACCGGAAGGCGGAGGAAAATCTTTCGAAATTCGCGTATGCATCCATACCACATGCCCTGCTGTATGATCGATGATTGTGCCATCGTCGACTGCCAACGAATGGCAACCAATCACAAAGCGATTGTGCTTAGCTAGGGTATTCCGGATGTCGTTCAGCGTTTCATTCGGATGCGTTAAAACGGTGCGTTCTTTACTGGAAAGAGTGTAGATCATAATATACTACGGATGGGGGGGCTACAGCTTATATTATTTTGTTGCCAATTTTAGTGACAAGTCTCTGCATTTCGTTGCATGATAATTATCCATAGGCCATACGCAAGGTTAAAATATAACCATATAATATCCTAATTTKGCGACTCATCGTCGATATCGCCTTCGGCATCATTTTTTGTATTGGTAATTTGATATAATACGTTGTGGCTCCATCCATAGTCCGAGCCGGATTTGGTAGTCTCGGCCCWTCGAAAAATATTTTTCAATCGGCCMGTCGTTTGCTATAGTAGCCCTATGTTGGACGAATTTTCTGTTCATTAAATAATAACGACCTTAACACTTTTGTTGACTGTATAGTATTATATAGCTGTCATTAAAATCGTAACGTGGGCATTGCAGCAAATTTCTCATACCAGTCCAAATTGTTAGCGGTGTTTCGAGATTTTCTCGAATGCTTGACTGGCCTATCTGGGCCTGTCCATACTATATAATAGAGTATATGATGAATGATGGTCAAAGGATCAGCACTAACAATAATTAATTAGTGTAACTGTTTTGAAAAATAAATTAAATTATTGTTCTCGTTAAATTGGTATCAATTTAAATTTCTTGTCATGAGCATAATAAATGCATCACAAATTTTTCAACTTCATACCTACCCTGCACAGACACAGAAATCTTATTTCAATACTTAGTTTTTAATTGTACCTACTTATTACTTATATACACTTACTTTTTGTTTTTGTTGTTTGTATTTCTTAATTAAACTTATWCTAAAGTGTATAAGTTTGTACGGATGATAAACAATAACACTTTACTTAATGTAATAATATCTTTGTCACAGCTAAGAAAGTCATAAAGGTGTTTTCAGTTATGTCATATTTTCATCGGGCTTCTTGTTTGTCTCCGCGTTCCGACATATTCACATATTTATCTATGTCTGAAACAAATCAGGAATTTAATTCGGTCCATATTTTTGATAATAACTAAAATGTATGAATACTATAACAGTAAGTTGTACTTGTAAATAGTTTGCTAATGTAAATCATGAATACACATATGCGTGTGTATGATTTATCCGAAAAGTTTTCGAAAACCACGTTTAAACTTTTAATAATAATTATTGAAACGTAAAACGTACTTYATACTTATCATTATATTGTGCTGTAAATGTTCGTTTGTACTTTTTTCAACTCAACTTATTGAAAGCAATGTTTTTATATTCAATTGCAATGGAATTAACTGAGCCTAGAAAAGTATACGGCTCACGTAAATCATCATTAGTATAAGTAACCGATATGCGAMGAAATGTCTTCAACGCTGGTGTTGGAAATAAAATAGTGAAGCACAATGTAAATTAATTTATACCATACAATATTCTCAGATCTTTAAAAATTTAAAAATAGAAAAAAATAAATACTTTTGTGAACAAATGTCATAAAAAACTTTGGAGCACAAAAAAACTAGGATTAATGTATAAAATTACGGATGTGTTTTTTGTTATCAAATCATAAACTTTTATTGTGATAGGTGTTGAGTACTTTTAAGCACAGTTTTAAAAAGTTTTTCGTTTTCGTAGCGCATAGGTACTCTACTGCCTTTATATTATGACTGCGATATTCGCACGCTCAATATTATGAAAGTAATAAATCTTTAGACGACCATAACGTTTATGAAAAATKTATACAACTGTCATCGCAGTAATACAATGAAATTATTGCCATTGTTTTATTATTATTTATTTTAAAGTAAAACAATTAATAATATATTTTATAATTTAAACTAAAATTATTTAGGTTTCTTTAATTTATTACTCTGTGTGCTATTTTTTTTTTTTATGATTTCGACAATAGTTCCACGATATTTATTACGTTTCAATCGTATTGGATTTTGTTTGAAATAATTGACTATGAAGTTGCCGATATTATCTTTTACTCAAACATACGTGTATAATGAAACACGCTGAACATTATAATTAAATACATATGAAATCCTGAATTTCAATTAACTATGCAGTTGTAAGTTCGTATAAAGATATAAAAAAAGAGTAAATTATTAGAGGTAAATTTCAACCATATTTATTTTAAGATCTGATCAATTTCTTACAAACATCGTTAAAAGTGTGTTTTTGGTTTTTTTTAAACTTAGTGTATATTTTCCTATTATTATTAATTTTTGTTCTGTAGTTTTCCTATAAGATATATAATTTTACTYTGAGAAAACGGTTTGTCCGTAACGTGATTCATTTTTCGTATGTTATATATTGGTTTTTTTATTTGGCGTATGGTTTGTGATTACATGCATTATAGTTTTAATATGGTAACGAATAGTAAATTCAATTAATGCATAACAGATAAAAATAAGCGTAATAATAAAAAAAAAAGTCTAATTAGTAGTATGATTAATATTAATAAGGCATTAGAGATCTAGTTCTAGTTCCTCCAACCATTTAATAAATGTGGGAGCCGGGAGGGGTTGTGAGTCAGTCAATTCTTTGACCTTGATAACCGTGGAGGTTAGGTATGTTTGACATACAAAAGCTATGTGGTAGATGGTCTGCTTCTCTACTCCACAATCACATTCTAGTGAGTTTCTCATGCCCCATTTGTGCTGGGAATCTGCACATCTACCGTGCAAGGTTCGTATTCTATTAAGTGTGCACCACAAATTGTGCTGTAGGTCAAATCTTGTGGGTTATGTCTTGGTGATATGTTTCCTAGGTTGTCTGTTATACTCTACCAGAGCTGCCCACGTTTGTTTCCATTTMAAAAAATCAAACATGGCGATCTACTATAAATTACGAGTATAATAGTTTAGGGTTAGGTACTGTTTTATTAATATTTATGAAACGATTTTCAAAAAACAATATATAAATATAACATTTTAGTGTTGCATGTGATCTCAAGTTTAYATGTACTTAAATTGATATTCTTTTCCTTTTTAAAGGTTTATTACAAACGTGTTTTTTCATGATATTTTTTTGATTATATATTCAGTCATAGTTCAGTTTAACGGTGAATGTAACTAGAATTTAAAAGTGTAAATAATTTTATATTTAAGTTTATTTTTTTGCTTAATTTGTTTAATATCAATTTTTATATTAAGTTATAAAACATCAATATCTCTGAAAATAAAAATAACTTCATAGAAGTAATGGGTTATATTAAATAAAACAAAATCTATAAATTAATTCATTATATATTCATATTAATATCACTAAGAGGTTTGCAGTTTTTAGTAAAAATGTATTTAAAAAAACTGCTTTTCCTGTTTGACAATGTGATTAATTTCAGTTAATTGGACATGAAATTGCGTAACATTGAAAATAAAACGTTCAGCAGTTATATTCTATTGCTTTTCAATAAGATTTTATTTTTCTTATTTTAAGGTTATGATTGAGAAGTTAAAAAAAAAAATTAAATATTTTACAAACTTATGTAATAATATGTATTTAAATCTTGCTTTCATTATTTTAATGTATTAATTTTCAATAATATTGTTACAGTTATCATATAAATAGATTGTTGGAGACTTTTAAAACTATCTTAAGCATCATCTATACAATTTACTTATATTATTATTAACTTATATAAATCATACATTTTTATAAGTTAGTTTAATGCCTATAATAAATAATCATAAAATTGTTAATATTTTTTTTTCAGACACTATAAGCTTGAAGCTGAAATTGCATCTATGACGTGGAAAGTCAATTACAACGACATCATAAGAGTGCCGCAGGAAAAATGGAGAACGAGTATGGCAAGTCTCATTAGAAGAAACAGCCAAAGGGTAAGCGATGCAATCATTACGTTTTGTTGTGCTTTGCAGAAAAATAAAATTATATACAGAGTGAAATTCGTTCTCAATGTCCGTTTATGTTTCGGCCGTTTAATATTTTCTGTGGCATTTCCACAGATCCACTTATTTTTGTTATACTTAAATCGAAGACTATGATTATGATAATGATGACAATAATAATAATAATAATAATATGATGATGATGATGATGATTATTATTATTATAGTTAGAATAATGTTAATAATAATAATAATAATAATAAATATTATTTTATACATTCGTATCTTATAACGTTTGGATTTTGATCCCAAAAATAAATATAATTTTCCGCTTTCACGGAAGTAAAAAATAAATAAATATTTTACTGTTACTGTTCATATTCAAAATTGTCACATATCAAGATAGACAAATCCTATAAATAATTACTAATAACTACTATGATAGTACATCATAAATAAATAATAAAATTTCAAAATCAAAAATTATTATTATCATAAAAAATAACACTTAAATAATAATAATATGAACGGTTTGGAAAAAATAAAAACAATTTGTTTTAATTGTTCACACATTTTCAACATAAGTTTCTGAGTTATATGAGTCGCTCGAGTAAAAGGAATCTACCTGAATATACATGAATATACTGCTGCATTAATCATATAATTAGTTGTTGTACCACCTAATGAAAATAGTAATATTGGTTGTCATAATTTTTGCCGTTGCGGGGGKTGAGGGACGACGATTCAAGAAACCTTTAGAGGTACGACTATTACAAGCTCTTAGGGCTAAATAATTTGGCGTCCTTCTCAAAAATTTACGGTATAACGGGAGTAATTAATGGGGTACGCAGGTACGATTTTGCTTTTGGTCTCCGTGGTTCTCGGTGGCTATGGATTTACGCAGTGTTGGCTGTTTTTTTTTATGACCTTAATATTTTTTTTGCTTATTATGAATCTTTTTCCGTATTTGCTAACCTTGAATTTACAACCGTTTCAAATTTATCAGTCCTTACTAGATCTTATTATTCCTAAGGCTTTCTTTTAAGCTGACGCAGTACAATAGTTACACACAGCCCCTATACAGCCGGTAATGCGGTTAGGTTAGGTTCTATCACTGGATGATTATAAAACTCAAACTGATTGCAGCCAAAATTATCGTTGAAATACCAAACCGAGATCGGGGATTATAACAAATGATATTCAGTAATAATATTAATAATAATATAAAAAAGAAGGGTAGGAATCTACCTACCCTTAAATTCAACCACCTCATCACCCCTACTACACGCGCTTTCCTACTATCTTCCACCGTCATGCATCCACGATAATATAATATATTATTATATACCGCCACAACGACGTTCGTTTTCATAACGTCTGTTTAGCTTCGAATCAACCTCCTTACCGCTGCTGTCAATCGTGTGTCGAATAACAAGCCACAATATTATAATAATATATGAATATAATATCCATAGAGTAAAAATAATAATAGTATAATCAAGCGATGCAGAAATATTGTATTATGTTGTTATATTACGTGAACTACATGATAATTAGCTCGTGGTGTGTACACGCGTGTCAGACTTAATACTGTTTACATTTTTTAATATTTATTTTTCTAATAATAACGACACGAACTTTAAAAAATAACAAATAATGTTTCACAAATCTACACTTTGGCATGAATTCGCATAAACCCCATTATACAATAATTATGTGTATAAGTCAATACTTACTAATTATACGTATAATGTTTATTATAATATTATYACCTTTATTCACTGTATAACTTTATTATTTTTTTCAATTATAGACCGTCATATCAGATGACCTCATGAGCCTCATGAGTCAGTGTGATTACGGGCGCCAAATATTCATTCAAACAGCATTTTACAAAGTAAGTACCTGCACGGTTTTCAATAATTATTATTTATTCAGTATTATGTATAATTATTATATACATATATATAATAAATTATATTTTATGTATATATTATTGTATATACGACATAAACTTATTTTCTGGCAAAAATAATACTATTATATATATACTATGTGTATAGGTATTAGATTTAGGCTAACTATAAACTTCTATACAACAATTTGATAATATGTTTTATTATTTGGTTAGCTATCATATTATTTATGATTGGATTTTGTGTTATAAACAAATATGTAAAAGAAAACCTATCATTCAACTTATGCACATTTGAATAATTCGTGCAGGTTTTCCCTGATTAATGTATATTGGTATTTGTATATTAACGTGATAATCGTATTTTTTAAATTATAAGTTTTTAAATATGTAATACAATCTGTAAATATGTTTTTTACAACTACTATAAATTATGTAGGGGTAGTTATTATCGAACTGTAGTTTCGAAAGAATAATCCACGCCGTTAATGGCAATGAGTAGGTAATAGAATTTAATCATTTGAGAGGTTCTGGAATTTTATTTTATGTTTCTAACGTCTTCCTAGGTCATGCATTGCTAATAACAGTCAACAGATAAATGTGTGATTTGAGGATTTCGGTAGTCGTGGTTGGATAGATTTGAGTGGAAATGTTTAAAGAGAGTTTCAGCTACATAAGTTTTAAAATCTATATTAGTTTTATATTGATGATTGAAAAAACATTTTTTTTTTTTGTTCAATTTTTTGAGTATCTAGTACCCAATCCTTAATTTTTTACTAGACATCGAATATCTACCAATAGTTATTATTTTAAAAATATCAATTTTTTAATTAACTCGATAGGTTCCTATACACAATGAATTGTTACTAACAAGATTCTGTGATGCATATTAAGCAAGATTATAGGTTATAGTTTCAATTAATTTCTCTTCAGAGTTGTTTTTCATACCTGTGATGAAATCATTTATCATGGCTTAAAATTTCCTTTTACAACATGAACGTATCACGCTCGTTTCAACTGTGCACCCAACTACACCCAGCTTCTGTGATGTATAAAGTGCTGTATAAGCGTCTTTAAATATCCTAAAGAAATATGATTAATATCACACTATTTATCATCGCCTATTCATTTATCCAGTTAATTGTATCGAGTTGTGTATTACGAAAACTTAACATATTTTTCCAAAAGAAAGGTAGTTGTATGATTTGTTTGTTATGTATTATTAATGTAAATCGAGAAAAAAATGATTTCAACTTTTTAACGWCTTTAAATAAAATCATGATGTATATATGTGTTGTTAAGTATTTTTTTTAAATAATTGAGTTAATACGGTTGTGTTATTATATTTATTCAAGTGTTATATTCAGAAATATTCTCATGTAACCACAATTTTTATTAAATTAACTAAAAATGAATTTTCAAAACTAATTATAACAGTCATAAATCTTTAAAAGCACCTTTAAACCGTATAAATAACGAGACGTTTTTATTTGCTTAAAAAAATGATAAATTATAAGCAATTAAAATATTTTAGTTTGTGTTTTAAGCAGGTTGAATAATTCTGTCATAAAATATTATGTTCTCGGTCAGAATTTTTATTCACATTATACAAAAGAGAGGTATAGTTATATTTTATACTTTAAGCTGGCGATACAATCGTCTGTTATTTTKATCTTAAAAATACCAATTTGATCAAAAGTTTGCGTTAAGAATAAAAAATYAGAATTAAGAAAATCGTTTTTCAATTTTATTTTTTTATTTGAGTTTATATAATTTATTATTACTATACAAAGGAACAAATTTCCAACGTTGAAAAACAATTTTCTAAAATAAAATCTCATCAATAATTGTGGCATGTTGAAGCKTTTTACGATATTATATTAAATTGTCTTTAAATATATAATTTAACGTACAAATATGTTATACATAATATGTAGATTGAATTATGTATTATTATTTAATTTTTTGTATTTAAATGATAACTTTGAATTTATATAAACCAGATTTGTGAACATATATTGTGCTCAATGTAATAATGACTGTACATTAGCGTATTATTTAGAAACTTCTGATTCAATTATTTGCTACAGAAAGATCAAAAGTCAAACGATTTAATCTTATCATATTACATGACGTATACGTTTGTATAAAATTATCTTGACTAGATTTAACGCACACGAACAAATTATTATTATTTACTAAAAGTCTTATTATATATAACCGAGATTTGGTTTATTTTAAAAATCTGTTTTGTTTTACACATATCTTTGAACTTCTATTTATGCTAAAACTTTGGACCTGAATTAAGTTACTATGAAATCTTTGAATCTTAGAATTAATTCAAATCTTTACTTAAGAAACAAAATTAAAACATAATAAGCATGATAAAAAAAATATTTTGAMAGATTTTCTTGAAAAAGTATCCAGATAGTGGTAGTATTTTAAAGAGTTATTAATCAATGGAGTATCAGAGTCATCATTACCAGCATAAAAGGTTCATAAGAACAAAGAGTGGTTATTTATGCTACTGAAGGAACCATGAGGTTCTGTCTGAAAAATTGTGAGTGTCAAGGATTAGATGAAATACTTGAAGAAATAATGTAGTGTGATTATAACAAGTTAAATAAGCAAATGATACACATATTCTAGTAGCTATTCAAAAAACAGAAATTACAATCATTGTTTCAACAATAAATTTGCTACTGATCTGGAGATAGACAATATAGGATGTGATAGGATTAATTTAAGAAATTATATGTGGATGGTATCATAAAGATGATGGAATTCAATACATGTTTAATTAAAGGGCAGTGTTGGCGATGGCTCAAATTCTTTTAGAATTACAATACAAAAGAAGAAGTTAAATAGAAAGACGAATTAAAGTCTGACATGTGTTGAACAATTAGATCGAAATAAGTGTTTAATGCCTTGAAGTGGATCTACCTATTATATTATAATAGGTACACTTTCAATGGAAATCAATATAACATCGATTTTAAATATTACATAACTCGATGAACTAGATGTTAAATTCAAATGGAGTATATGCCAAATATGATTGACTTACCGTTTCGTTCTCTAAAATAAATCTATCAACAATTTATTTTTCACTGCATATCTTGCATCTAATTTTGTGTTAAAATGTTTGTATAKTATTGTTTCGGTACTTATGAATGACTCCACAACTATAGCAATAATACGGGTACAGCTATTATATTTGTACGGCGTGAGTAATTAAATGGAGTATAATGTATACTGATTGTGATAATTGACTGTACCACAATAGCTAGTGTCAGAGTTATTAAGTCACGTCAAAATAATGGAGGGAATAAAACGAACAATAGTTATTTGGGACATCTTCCCCTACTTTTAGTAGTATTATTAATAGCACACTATTACTTTTTTATACTGATTATATTAGATGTTATGAACTAATCAAATAAATGTGAATATGCTGAATATTCTTTATTGATCAAAATTATAATATTATTGTTAATTTAAATAGTTTAACTAATCAATATCGAGTCTCTGATATAATTATTACCAATTTAACAAATTGTGTTCTCATTATTTATATACTTTAAAGTAATTAATAACACAGATTACCCAATTTGTTATGATTTTTAATATTTTTATGACTTTACCAATAAAATAATTATATCGATAAAACAATATTTTATTTTAACTTCCTCGAAAAGTTACCAACATAAAATTTCAAATAATCAGAGGTCGTACACACAAACGGAATTTTAAACAGTTCTATCAGTTATTACTTTTTGCAATTTATAAACACATTCAATAAGATAAAGTAAAAATGTTTCAACATGAAGTCAAATGACACTACGATTGGGTTATTACTCATAATTTTTTGCTMAACTCACTTAATAAAACTGAACAAGGAGGTTATAAGAATTATCTTTTAATATATTATTAGGTATTTAGTTATTTTTAATTTTAACAAACGCCATCGCACAGTGTTGGACAGTGTTTATTTTTCGTATATACGTTAAAATCATGAAAATCGTGAGCTGCTTGTCTTTGATTTAGAACAGGTCTTAGATACACATATTTAGGTTTTGTGGCTCATCTTGTGAAAAAAGTTCAATATAATTGTGTCCATATCTGAAACRGCATTGGCGCAATCGCCGTGATCGTGTCGAGCAGCGGAAGATCCAGTGAATGTGGTCTTAACCGTGTCTCGTTGTTGATGTGGCATCCGCTGCTGCCGCCATGTTTGGCCGCTGACATCGTCGCTATCGTCGCATTCGGTTCGATGACGGCCACTTTCGACCAACGGGGCTGCTGCTGCCGAAACCGACGTGTCGACAATGCACCGACAGCCTTGTCGTTGTACCGATTGTATTTTTTGTTGTTCCGGTTGTCGCGGTAGTTGTTCCGTTTCGACGATCCCTTTATCTTTGAATTTGCACGCGTACGTCTGTCGACCAAAATTGTATTCGTAGTGATCGTAGTTTGAGTACGGTACGTTGGTGACTGAGGCGAAAGGGGTGTTGGTATTAGAGGTATAATATGCAGAGGTGGTGGCTTCGAACGCCATATTGTTGTCAAACCGGACGTCATTAACGACCTTGTGCCCGGTGTGGGATGCCTGCTGCCGGATTCGCCTTTCTCGGTCACGGAGCACTCGTTCTCGGATGTGCTTTTCGGCAGGTGGTTTGGCCCACGACACGTCGATCTGAACGCCAGACGATTCGTCCACGGCGCCGTCCAGCGCGTTCATAGCGTCCTGGGCGTCTGACCTGCGTTCGAAGTGTACAAACGAGTAGTTCTTTAGGTTCTTGACCCGTTCGACCTTTCCATACTGGCCAAACACGTCGGCTAGCGTGCGCTCGTCAAGTGTGCCACCGTACTGTCGGACGAACAGAATTCGGACGGTAGCCATTTGTTGCGCGTCCACTTCCGGTTCCGGATCGGCCCAGTCGACAATCGTCTTGCACCCGAACACCATGCACTGGGATAGC